TGTATGGTCTGTCTGTCTGTCTGTCTGTATCTACGTATGTACGTATGTATATGTATATGTGTATGTGTATGTGTATATGTATATATGTATGTGTATGTGCATGCGTATGTGTATGTTTTTGTGTGTGCATGTGAATGCGTGTGTGTGTGTGTATATGTGCCTGTGTGTATGTGTGTATGTGTATGCGTGTATGTGCTTATGTTTGTATGTATGTATTTATGTATGTATGCATGCATGTATGTATGTATGTATGTATTTATGTGTGTAAGTAAGTTAGTTAGTACGTACGTAAGTAAGTACGTAAGTAAGCAAGCAAGCAAGCAAGTAAGTAAGTAAGTAAGTGAGTCAGTAAGTACGTAAGTAAGTAGGTAAGTAAGTGAGTAAGCAAGTAAGTAAGTAAGTAAGTAAGTAAGTAAGTAAGTAAGTAAGTAAGTAAGTAAGTAAGTAAGTAAGTAAGTAAGTAAGTAAGTAAGTAAGTAAGGGAGTAAGTAAGGAAGTATGAGTGTATGAGTGTATTTGTATGTATGTGTGTGTGTGTGGGTGGGTATGTGTATGTGTTTGTTCACGTGTCTGTGTATGTGTACGTGTATGCATGCATGCAAGCATGGTTGCATGTGTGCATGTGTACATGTAATTGTGCACGGATGAACGTATGCACATATGCAGTGTAGTATGCAAGTAAGCATGCATGCAGGTATGCATGTATGTATGCGTGTATAAGTGCATGCATGCATGTATGCATTCACGCATGTATGCATGTTTGTATTTATATCGAAGCTAAACATGTATACACACACACACTTTTATTTACTTTGTACTTATGTACTTATTTGTGTATTCGGGCATTTGTCGATTTGTGTAAGTACGAACAACTTGGTTGATATCGAGCCAAGGGAGGCTATGATGAAGCGGCCCTACAGGAGCCTCGGTTGAGATTTGGGGTTGGGAGGGCCCGGGAGGGGAGGGTCTTGTCGATGGATCCGGGAGCTACATGCAAGAAAGATCATACCACTTTTGGCATGTATTGCGATTGGGGGTGCGGTCATCTGGGATTAGGGGCTCTTCGAAATAGGGTCCCAGCACTTCGGACTTAGGGGTTGTGTTGGGTCGCTCAGTTTCTGAAACCGAATCCGGGATCTGATGGTCCGGGACTTGAGCTCACAGATATCGCAGTTCGTGACGCCGCCTGTCTTACTTGAAAGCCAGATGGCCCAGCTCAAAACCTTAAGGAGTCTGGGGTGTTTAGGCTTCAAGAGGGGTACTGGCATTGAACAAGTCCCGGTGTAAAGGCGATTGAACCCTAAGCTTCCCCAAACCCTCAACCTCAATATCTACTTAAGAGCCAGACCGCCTCACCCGTGTCGTCCAGCTGTGATCGCCCTACGAGCTTCGAAGCATGAAGGCTTGAGGACATCAAGATCTGAAAGGTTAGTCCTGTAGCAACAATGTCCCGTAAGTGTAGGCATTATATGATCATACTCCAACACCCAGAACCCTGTTCGAATTTCTATACACCTATAGCGTGCTGCAATGGAAGCACAAGGGGTTTTGAGTCAATTCCTCCAGCTGACATACAACCTCCTGGTATGTTGATAAAGGTCTTCTTTCCATCGGGTATTGCGCTCTAAACCAGAGAGTCCTGGACAGGAACTTCTTCGATCCTTGGTGCCCTTGCTGGCCGCTTTGTATTCCTGTGGCGGACAGGAACATTGAGATGGGGAAGTCCGGGGGTATTCAGGCTTGGGCGTCAGGAGGTCGTTCAGAATCATCATACCCTGCAGGCCTTAATACTAGAAAAAGCCCTACACACTTAACCCTAAACTCGAGGCCCCAAACCATTAGAGCCCGAACAGACGCTCAACCACAGAGCCTCGGCTGTTGACATTTGGCAGTTGAAGACAATTGACAATGGAGACTTGCAACTTCCAGAACCTGAAACCCTAAACCCCTAAAGCCTAAATCAGGTGGGCATCTTCCGACCGGAGGAGCGGACGGCTACGTTCTCGGGCTGCTGCTGCTTGCCTCCCTGTCCGTGCCCATGCATGTGCCCCCTCTTCGCCAAGGTGGGGGCTTCCTTGCCTCTATGCTTCTAAGCATGTACATGTAAGCATTTACATCTTGGATAGACATATAATGGATATATCTGGAACACATCGATACACGTGTATGCGCCTGTAATCAGGGTTAGAAGATACAGTTATGGACGGAAATGTAGCTACACATATAAACGCGCATGTGCATAGACAGGTATATATATATATACATACATACGTACAAGTCTCTGCTTTTGCTGTCAGCTTTAGCAGTTGTGTATACACGCCTATATCTGGCACCCACCTGCCCTCGTCGCAAAGGTGGATGGGCAATGGGCAGAGCAATTTGGGAGCGCAAGTGCGACTTCTTCGGCGCCAGCACAACAAGAGATGGGCGAAGGTTACCAACCCATCGCTCAGAACTGACGATCGGACTGCCTGTGTGAAACACGGCCACGCCCCCTGCCGATAGCCACCGGTGTTGTTTGCAAGGGCACTGAGAGCGGACACAATAGCTTTGCTTCTCTTTTGCTGAGACATCTACAGTTTAAATTAATTTGACGGAGAGCCGAAGATGAGTGAAAGGCTCGTGGAAGATTCACGCACACCCCAGCGGTGTCAGAAGCCCGCCTGCAACCTCCAAGATTCTCCCATGGTTCGGTTGCATATACCAGCAATGGAAGGGCCTTAATGGTTAAACTGGCTTTCTGCTGGAATACTGCCCTTTAGTTGTAAGAGGACTAAGCAGGCGATAGTATAACTCAGTCTTCAGACTTCTGGAGCACCCGGATCTCCACTTCCGCTGCGTGACTTGCACGGTCCTCCCAGTACTCGTAGCTCAATGCTGTGCGAAACGCGATGCTTGCAAAAAGCTTGGCCCGGTCCGGCTAGCACCAGAGTTTGATACGGAAGCTTCCCCTGTACGAATCGTATATCCTCAGGAAGCTTGTATCGAAATGTGCTCCAAAACGCTACTCCAGTCATTGAGGCCCCCATAGCACTCTCTCCCTGCACCCGAAACCTGAACCTAAATTGTGTAGGGGGTCAGTGTTGATGGTTTTCTGCACGGACAAGTCAATCGGAGCCGACACGCTCAGCAGCATTGCGTGCATATCTCTACAGAGCTAGCAGCTGTCTTGCTGGAGCACGCCGCACTTGCAGTTACAATGGCGGTCCTAGACGCACAGTACGTAGATGTCCAAGACACCCTAAACCTTAAACTCTAAGCCATGAGCCTTACACCAAGTACCGTAAACTATGCACTATATACTAAATGCTATGTACTATCTACTATATAGTATGATAGACTATACTATATGTTTACTATATACTATGTTCTACGAATGTGTTATGAGCTATGGTATTATAGCATAATATGTTTTGACCTATTATATAGTACAACATCATATATTGTCATATTAATTTATACATATATATGTGTGTGTATGTATATCACTATACTATATATGTCTATATCTTACCGCATTATCCTGAATTATATTATTTTGTTCTTATGTTGTATTACCACCTCGCAAAACAACTGTGAATGTGAAGCCAATAACCCAGAAGCTCCTGAGCCCCGACCCGCAGCAAGCACGAACCCCTAAAACTCTAAACCCTATCCAACCCCTAAACCCTGAACAACGTTGGATTGAATTCTATCATATTGTTTCATAGTACAATTTACGATAGTTATGTTGTTTTACCCTGCTTTCTGTCTGTAGTTTTTACACATACACGCGTATATGTGTATGTGGGTGTGTCCGCATATTTTATCTGTATAATATATATATATATATGTGTGTGTGTGTGCGCGCACACATACTCTCTCTATATATATATAAGTGTATATATATATATGCGTGTGTGTGCGCATTATGTAGGTGTTGCACATGTAATGTAATACTGTAATGTAATGTAATGTAATGTAATGTAATGTAATGTAATGTATGTACGTATGTATGTACGTATGTATGTATGTATGTATGTATGTGTGTGTGTGTGCATGTATGTGCGTATGTGTGTATGTATGTATTTATGTATGTATGTATGTATGTATGTATGTATGCATATCTATGAGTATGTATGCATATATGCATGCATGCACTGCATGCGTTTACATACCTTTTTGTTTATACGCGGACGCCCGACAGCTCCAGTCAGGCCGCGAAGTGCTTCAGCAATGTGGAAAGGCTGGGACTGGACCAGGTGGGCTCGGACGTGCGAGTTTTAGCACAGCGTTTACGATGTTCCTGGGCCCTTACTGGCTACCATTTTAAATTTCTGCTATAATAAAACCCTATAGGGATTAACAACTATCACTTTTAATATAGCCCCAACAGGGAACCAGGTTAAAGTACTCGTAGTGTTCAGGAACAAAGGATGTAGGAGTGAGGGTGACGGGCGTGAGGTTTATGGTTCTTCTATGGAACCAAAGGGCTCCAACGGAGGGATGAAGGTAGCGCGGGAGTTCTGCATGGGAGTGCTTAAAACAGGGATCCTTAACCCCACCACCTTTCGCCAACCGTGTCGAGCTCTTGCTATGCTTTATTGGGTTTAGGTTTTGATGTGGGGGGCGGATGGCAGGTGATTTCGACATTTACACATGTGAGCTACAGTCACAGAAAAAGAGCGGAGGCAACTCCGCATAGCTCACGGATAGCCTCTCTTTCCCAAGGATGAATATCCTGTTCGTGCGATCTCTTTCTGTTCTTTTCGAAGGCTCTTCTCATGAATGCAGAGCACAATCGAAAAGAAATTCTCTTGGGCCAGATCTGTGTACCATCTGGTTCAAATCTGCTAGAACTATAAACGCAGGCCCCGTAGTGATACCTGTAGGCTCAACGGTTCATGGAGAGTAAGTCAGTATGTAAGCCCTCAAGCCCGTGCTTCGAAATCCTGACAACCAGTACTCCAAAGTCCTAGGAGCCGTATTCAGAAACCCAAACCGAAGCCCTGAAGCCACAAATCCGGATCCTCCACTCTTCACCATTTGTCGGTGGAAGGGCAGTCGTAGACAGTGTTCCATGAGTGCCTCCAAGCTCCTTCCGTGGGAAGGTTTGGTTCTCCTCTCAACCCCTCAGCCCGAAGCATCCGCACCACATCAGGGGACGCCTTGGAAGCTTCTTGCAGAAGCACAGGACCTGCTGTGTCCGTAAACCTGTTGGACCTAGCCGTGCTCCAGCTAACCGAGGAGCCAAACCAACACTGCTAAAGTTTAAAAGGCCCGTTGAGGCACACTGCCCTAAGCAAACTTGCCTCCCTTCCAGTATCAGTATAGAGCACGGCTGTGTGCTTCACAACTTAATGATTACATGGAACAGCAGAAAGCAGAAGTACTCCCCACCCCGAATTCCCACCTTTCCACGCCGCATCGCAGTTCCGGGTTGCCCGTGGGAACTGGCATTCAAAGGGGGAAGCAAACGATCTAAATGCCGCCACATTGTGCCAGAACTTCCACACATAGCCGTCATCATGACTGCATGCATGACCAGCATGCCGTGATCGCTCTGATGATAAAGATGATTTTGTTGTTCTTGTTGACGGCGACAAGCCTTGGCACTGCTAGCTACTACGGTGATGACGGGGACCAAGATGCAGATGATGATCAGTACCATTACTCTGACACTGTTGATACAGCTGGTTGTGTGACACAACGCCCCCCCCTTCCCGCCAGCAACGAGGACACCAATGCCACCAACAACAAAAGCAAAACACTGCAGCAACAGCGGCGACAGCTTCAATCACAACAACGCCGACTGTTGCATCCAGGCAAGAAGGCCAACAGCACAACCAAGCGATATCCTGAGGTGTTGATTCGTTTGATCGCCCGCAAAGACCAAACCTGTAAGGAACTGGACAACCCGCAGACAAGCCCCTGGCTCGGCGTCTACGGTTCAGGGCCCAGGGTCATCGAAAGTTCCTTGTCGCCCCATCAGTCACATCTGAACCAGGCAGCGGCAACGTTACCAGCCAAGACCCGTAGCAAACTCTTTGCAAAAACGCATAAACCTCACACGCCGTTTTCAGTGAGGAACCCAGCAAACACGATTATTCCAACAACGCCTCAAGCAATCATCCACCCAAGCAGATGTCTTCATCAGGACCACATTCTGCCTCAGCATGGTCGGCACGAAAAGGCAACCCGGTCCATGAATCCCGCATGGCACATTCGGCTTTCGGGTTTAAAGTTTAGCACACGATCGCGGTTCGGATTTAAGGCTGGGTGCTTGGATGCAGGTGTTTGATGCCGAGCTTCGAAAACAAGGCTTAGGCTTTGGCTTTAGGCTATAGGTCGTTGGAGGTCGGAAGAGACTTTCATTTCGTTCGTACCCAGCATGCACCGGGAGAGGCTCACTACGAAGGGCTTTTATCCTGCAGCTACTGCAAGCAAACTTCGTGTACATTGGTTGAAAGTCTGTATCCTGGAGGGTGTGGGAATGCATTGTAGTCGTATGGCTGACACCTGCACTATGTCACAGTCGCGAAAGAGCTGTTCGGCCACATCTGCGCTTTGCATAGGTAGTGGCAACAGCCGCTAGAATCCGCCAGGAGTTTTGTGCATAGGTTCTATGCAATACACAGAGAGAGAGACAGACGTGGAGACAACGAGCTCTCTGTCAGGATTCAGCCTGAGCCCGGGCTTACGGCCGAAGCCCTGAATGGGCTGACAGCAGACAAAGTCACCCAAGTAGTGCTGCCCGCACCCGTCGCCCCCTTTGCCCTCCCCCTCGTAGCACGGGCCTCGGGGCCTCGTTGCCGTTGTCGGTGTCATAGCCGTAGGAAAAGGGAGATGAGACTCACCAGAGCCATGTCCACCCCGCCCTTATCATGTTCACATCATGTGATCAGATGAATGCTCTACTGTCTTGGAAGAAGAGCCAAAATCACCCAAAGCGCAGGGTGCCCAAGCCTATGTCAGCTTAGCCAACTGGCTAGAGGACGGGCCTGGTCACTGGCTTAGGATTTAGTGTGTAAGCTTTGGGGTCGTTGTACCATGCTATGGGGATCTCACCAGGTTACGGGAGCCTAAATTAAGGGTACTTTTGAAGCTATGTATGTATGTGTGTGTGTTACATGCATTTCCACATGTATACATGTATATATATATATGTGTGTGTGTGTGTATGTATGTATGTATGTATGTATGTATGTATGTATGTATGCATGTATGTATGTATGTATGTATGTAAGTAGGTAGGTAGGTATGTNNTGTATGTACGTATGGATGTATGCATGATGTATTTTACGTATGGATTTTTCATTCGCATTTTTACATAAACGAGGGTCCGAGATTTTCTGATATTATAGCCCCAAGGTTTAACCTGGATTTCCCGTAGCAGACCCAACTGCCAAAGGATGTGCCCTAGCCGGCCAGCATTATGTTGGGATCTTGGGTGCATTCTAGCATAAGTGAAACAATCAAA